TAGCTGGCAGCACAGGCCTATATACCACCAAGCCTAGCTCTACTCATTTTTAAAATTAGATATTTTGTTTGACCCACTTATAGCTAGTGTACAACAAATACTCCAGCAACTGCTGAACACCATTTGGCTAGGAATGAGACATCCAAAGTCTATTATAGATTTACTACTTTTAAATCTCCTACAAGAGATCTACTACCATTATGTAAAAAAACATTCTTTCTGAACATATGTCTATTTTAATGCTTAGGACATACTATTTTACATTGCTTATACAAAGAAATCTTTCTCGGCCAATAGTCCAGTCCTACTTTCTGAACCCAGTTTGGTCTAGATACCCTCCTGTCACCTCTTGGTAAGTTTCTACATTTATTACTTCCCTCCTTGTCCTGCTATCAATCTTGTTTGCTATTCTGCAGTCTTGTTTTGTTTTTTCTTGAACAACTCCAGGAGTTGTTGATATATACTGTCAAAGTTTAAAAGATAGCTTAGGCAAGCACTTTACCACAGAGCTACATTCCCAGCCTCTAAGGAAATTAAGATTATATAAAACTACCATATTTACAAAGAGAAAAGGTACACTCACAGGTGTGAGAATTTTCATCTTTTAATCTGAAATAGAACCTCTATATTTCAAATACAAGAAAGGTCATTGCTTTAAAATAGGTAATGAAAACAGAAAAAAATATTTCTGTAGACTCCTAAGAGTAAGGGCAGAATTTTTCAATGAAGAATAAGATGACAACTTTATGAAGAAATCATAAAGCACTGGCTACATGCTCCATTCATCCAAGATTATCAACAAGAGATTTCTCCCTAGAGAGCAGGTGTTCTTGAAAAAAAAGGATGAGACTAATGACTCAAGAATTACTTAATACTTCTGAAATTCATTAGACCATGTTAGTATCACTGAACAGATTTGCCTTCAGCTTTTAATTCTGTGTTTAAAAAAAAAAACTCAAAGTAAAATGAAAAGTGACAGTTGCATATAAAAATGCAACCTTAATGATACCTTTCAGTTAGGTATCATTAACATTAAAATTGACTATACATTCCAGCTATTGTCAGCAACCTATTTCAGGGCTGCTTTATATTAATGGGGGCATATTAAAATAGGTCACCCACCATTTTCTTCATATTCTAGAGGAAACTCCATGTATTTCTGTGGCTAAGGGAATAACTATAGAGCATTCATTTCTATATGAAATAACAATAACCTAATTAAACTGCAAAGTGTTGGATTAAATTAACAAATGAAAACTCAATCATCAATTATTTCCTTGTCTTGAGGCTACAATTCAATTACTTTAGCCTAAATTGGACAGTAGAGTTGGTAGCTGTTTCTCAGAGTCAGTAGCTATTTCTCTCCCTTCAACATGCTTTGCAGCTCCAAAGACTGTACACCCAAAGCAAACTTGAGATGCCTTCTATCTAACTGGAGAGATGAGAAAGTTCTGTGCAACTGATCAGGTAAGGACCAGAGGAAGGAATGTATCAGTCATCTCTCAATCATTCCACCTTTCATAATGTTTGACTGACTATTTAAAAATTACATAAAGCATAGAGGATGTGGGATCCACTAGTTGAATGGTTAGGAGATACAAAGGGAATATAAAGGGGAACAGAAGGTTTAATATATCACCAAAAGCCAGTTACTGAAAAGTTGTCTATGTCAAAACACATAGCATCAAATTGACAGCAATTCTCTCTAAAGAAAAAAAATGAGGCAAGGATGGATATCAAGGCAACTTTTGAAACCCACAAAGCCATTTCTTTCTTTCTTTCTTTCTTTCTTTCTTTTTTTTTTTTTGCTTTTTCAGACATGCTCATGCTCTTACTATGTAGCCTTGTTTGGCTTCATGGCGATCCTCCTGCCTCAGCCTCCAGAGCGCTGGGATTACAGGAATGAGCTATAATCACACCCAGCTTGCATCACTGCCTTAAATAAATCACCTCCTTTTTATTTTAAAAGTTATTATTTATACTTTCCTCTGTCTTCAGCTCTTGCAATCTTAATCTTTTTGCATGTAAATAAACTTCCATAACTTCTACTATTAATCTAATCTACCCTATCCAGATACAAACCCATCTGTGAAAACTAAAAAGCATTTGCTTAGAGTCTTGCCTTCTTTACCCAAGGATCTTTAAAATAAAGGACAGAGAATGTGTATGGGAAAGACTATCAGTAATCACAGAGTAAAAATAAAAATATGGAGGATATTTAGTGACAGCTCCCCACCACCACCACCACACCCCAGTAACTAGAATAGGCATTAAAGCAGTGCTTAGAGCTTCTAAAACCTATACACCTACACAAATTGAGGAGAACCTTGGGAGAAATGTGACCTGGCTCCTTGGGTGTGGTAGATCCTTGGTTCCTGCCTCTTCACAGGTATTATGCAGGCTTCGCTGAGCTTCCTCATTCCAGCTATGCTAAAGTTGTTTATGACACCATGTGATTTCACTGTGGGGAGGGGAGGTAAGCAAAAGAGGAATATCAGATGACAATGTCAACAGCCAGTATGTGGCAGGCAGACTTTATTTATTTCCTCTAATCAAAGTCACCAGAAATGCTCAAGATGGTAGCTATCTTGAGCTACCCTAGCTAATGTGTCATGAGCTTAAGGAAGAAATCATGCAAAATTTTAAGCCATCAAGATTTGAGGGGTTGCTTCTGCAGCGTAAAGCAGCCTGTGTCCATTGGCACTCAAGCAATAACTGGCTAGGAGATCAAGCAGAGCTCAAAACTGGCCTGGGCTTCAGAAGAACAGGCTTATCAGTCACTGACATCAATGAATCAGTCACATCAAGTTGACAAAGCTGTGGCAACAGTAGTAATCTGGAGATCATGCCTACCCAATAAATCTACAATGGGTGTGTACCAAGATTCTTGCAGCTAATGAGCTTGTTTCAAAGCACCAAGAGAAGGGGCTTGGAAACAGAAGACTGAATAGTAGCTGCTGTTGGCTGTACTTGTCAAAGTACACACACACACACACACACACACACCACACACACAGAGAGAGAGAGAGAGAGAGAGAGAGAGAGAGAGAGAGAGAGAGAGAGAGAGATTGATTGAGATTGAAATTGATTCTGGGGAGTACCAGCAAAGACAGGCATTACGCAAACACAAATCACAACTTAGACCCACACTATCCCATTACACAAACATAAATTGTAACTTAGACCCACACTATTGCATTACACAAACACAGATTGTAACTTAGACCAACACTATTCCATGCTCAAAGGAGCATGCTCACCAAATCACTCAGCCTCAAAAAGAGGCCATATACTCCAAAGCCAGTTTGAGATGTGACAAAGATAACCATAAAACTATGTTTTTATCTCTCTCACAGGACAAAGCCAAAGACCACAGAGAACTATGCGCTAGAGCACACAGAATGAGAACTGCTTGTTGCTGATCTGAAATGAGTAACAGCTACGCACTCGGGTTCTCTGAGGAAACTGCATAAAGTATAAAGACCCTGCAGCATGCTTGAAAGATGGAACATCATAAAACAAGTGCCCAAATCTTCTCAAAGTACCTCCTGCCCATTTCAATCACCACTTACTACCCAACTGTGCATATGGCTTAACATCTTTAACAGTTTGGAATGTAGGTAGCCTCCAACAACCCTAAAGCCAATGAGATTTAAAAAAAAAAAATCTAAATTCGTCAGATTCCCCTGACTCATTATAGTTCACCTGGTGACCCTGCCCTTATACCATTGAAAAAACATACTACAGCTTTCTTTTCATTTTATCACAATTGTGCGTGTATGTGCATGGGTGGTGACAATACCTGCTGCCTGGTAAACTACTGGCCCAGAATGTGGAGTACAATACAGATCTTAAACTCCTGTTCAACAGGCACTTGATGAGTGAAGGATGAGTAAAATTAGAAATGGAGGTTATTTAGGATACTCCAATACTGTCTGCGAGAACACTGACTTTGTGGTGAGATGTTCACTATGAGAATATAGGATTCCCTCTTAATCTTCCTCATTTTTACTGATTTGCTACCAAATACCAAAAGAAGGTAACAAATTATATATAGTGGTCCAATATACATTCTCACTTATTTAAAACACAATATAACGTTTATTTTTGTTCCTCTTGGTCTCAAATGAAGATAGCACCACCTGCTCCTACACACTCTATTTCTTCCATTCTAGACAATCACCAAACTGCTCCCCCCCCTCCCGCCCGCCCCAAATTTTATGCCAAGGACATCTTTCCAAATTACAGGTTTCAAAGAATCACCTTCCCTTGCAGAAGGCCCTATATCCAGTACCACCACTTCCCAAGAGATTACTTACAGTTTCAGCTCACGCTTTACTTCATTCACTTCCCTCGCCTACTCGCCCAGAAAAAAGGAAATAATAATGATGATGATAAATAAATCAAAACAAGAATCCTTCGGCGTGTTCTGAATCAGAAGCCGAAGCCTTGCAAACACCCTTGCTAGATAAACGCTGCCGGATGCGAACGTGCATGCAATCAATCCTGCAGGCAGAATCTCGAGGCCCGCTGCCACCCACCTGCTGGAGACCTGTGCGCAGAACCTTTCTGCAATAAACAGAACGGCCTCGGAAGACAGCACTTCCCGCCACCCGAGAGGAGGCGGAGCCAGAAGGCGGGGCAGCGGCTGGTTCCCAAGGCAGCCCGCAAACGAATACTCTTGCCGCCCACGGCCGCCACTGCCTCCGCAAAATCGGTCTCCTGGGCAAAAAACAACCATCGAGGCTCCGCCTTCTCCTCGTGCTCCTTACGTAAGAGATCCTGCAACCAACGAAAGGCCGACGGGGCGGAGCGAGAGCCTAGGTGACAGAATCTGGAGTCCTCCCGCCGGAGCGAGCTGGCCTTGCAATTGCTGGGCCAATCAGCAGTGTGGGTGGGGAGAGGGGCGGGGAAAAAGAGGAGGACAACAGCAGCCCAATCAGACCGAGGCATCCTGGAGTGACGGGTTCTGAGGCCGGTGGTCTTCCGAGCGCGGCGCCCGGGGGGCGTGTCCACCCGGGCCAATCGCCGGCAGCCCACAGTGCGGAGCGAGCGCCTCAAATGCTCGGGTTTCTCAGCTGATTGTCTCCAGCCGAGAGTTGTTTTCTGCTGCTGCGGAGCCGAGCCGCGGCTTCAGGAGCCGAGCGCCCCGGGGGGGAAGGGGAGGCGGGCCCGAGGGCAGCCGCGGCCAGCGCTCGGGGCTGCCGAGTCTTGTCACGGCGCTGCCCCGGGGCCGCTGGCTGGAGCGGGCGGGCGGGAGGTCCGGGGGCGCTTGGGCTGCTTCCTTCCCGCGCTCCCTCGCCGCTGCTCGCGTCCCCTCATGAGGGTGTCAGTGGCGGGGCCGGCGCCAGCCGCGGTCCCCACGGCTGCCCGCGAACCCCCGACGCCCGGCGGGGGCACCGTCGCGGCGGCCTCGGGTGCCGCGGTGCCCGGTTCGGTGCAGCTGGCGCTGAGCGTGCTGCACGCGCTGCTTTACGCGGCGCTCTTCGCCTTTGCCTACCTGCAGCTGTGGCGGCTGCTCCTGTACCGCGAGCGGCGGCTCAGTTACCAGAGCCTCTGCCTCTTCCTCTGTCTCGCGTGGGCTGCGCTCAGGACCACGCTCTTCTCGGCCGCCTTCTCCCTCAGCGGCTCGCTGCCAGTGCTGCGGCCGCCCTCTCGCCTGCACTTCTTCCCGCACTGGCTGCTCTACTGCTTCCCCTCCTGCCTCCAGTTCTCCACGCTCTGTCTTCTCAACCTCTACCTGGCAGAGGTAAGGCGGGAGGACCGGCGTGCGGGGGAGCGGGGCCGCCGGGATACACTCCCGCCGAGACCGACATGGGGGGAGGGGGGCTAGGGGAGGGATGTGGCCGGAGAGCAGCCTGGGGAAACTGAGGCACTCCGGTCTTTTCCCTCTCCCTCAACTTAAGCCGCTGATGGACTCGGTGCCTGAGAGGGTTGGAGAAGTGTGAGACAGTATGCGTGCCCCGACAACTTAAGACTGTGGGACACCCTTTGTTCAGTGTTCCAGACCTCCACGGTAAGGCGTTGGTGGCGACCACAGAGCGGCATCGTAAGAACTAACAGCTCAGATGGCTCTGCCGGGGCTGGACCGGGTTGAGGGAGGTTGGTTGCTGAGGTAGCGGCAGCTCTGCCGAAGCTGGACCTCTGCCAGCCATTACGTCACCAGGCAGAGCTGTTCCTCCGCTATTGTTGCTGCGTTTCTTTTATTAGACGCTTATATCCCCACCAGCACCACCACCACCACCACACACACACACACACACACATACGTGTCCCTAATTGTGGCTCGATACACCTCACACAAATTCTGGTCGATTGCTCACCCGGCGGGGTGAACGATCAATAACCAATGCTTTGGGACAGTCGAAGGATCTCCTCCATAAAGCCCGAAATGTTTGCCCCCAGTTGTTGCTTGCTTTGGCCATTCGGCTGGTCTCATACAGCAAAGCCCTAGGTGGGGAGCTAATTAGAAGAAACAAGCTTAACCTATGCCTGGTGCAGAAACAAACCACGGAACTGGGTTTATTTTTTTTTTTTTTTTTCCTTTTTCTCAACAACTTGCTTAATAGCTGGAGTCTAATCACACCCCCTTTCTCTTTTACCGGGAATTGCTGTTTGGATTGCATTGTTCTGCAGCGCTTGAGTATTTGACCCACTTCAGACAGGTTTGGGGTGTAAGGTTGTCAATCATGTATATCAGTGATATTTAAGCCTTAGTATTTTCAGGCTTACCCCCCAAAAGTCTTCCTTTCCCTCGAAATAAAAGCTCAGGAGGGGAAGGAAAAGGTGACATCATACACTTAATACTGACTAATATAGAACAGTATTGGTCTATGCAGCTAATCCTCTCAAAGGCTTTTGGAGGTGATAACAGTTCCAAGGAAAAGTTTTTTTTTAAAGGCACTTTTGAATCAGATTAAATATTTATATTTTCAACATAAACCAACTCTTTCTCTCCCTTAATAGGAAAACAGTGAATCATTTTAAAATCAAAATTAAAATTTAAGCTATTCACCATACTAAAAACAATTGTTAAGTAACAAAACCAAACTTTATTTTTATTCTCCACACAATACTACAAACCCAAATTTACGAGCCAAAAGTGAGAAATATACATAATCATAAATCATTTATTTGAAGATGGCTTTTATCATCCAGCTCTCAAAAAGCTTATAGATAAACTGATACTGAGTTCTTCTTGACACCACTTCTGATAGAACATTAATAATTTCCGTCATTGAACTCTTACTATAGCTTCATATTAAGTCACTCTACCTGAAAATGATTAGAGGAGCATCAGATACCTTGAATGTCTGCCTCCCCCTCCACAAATGTCTTGACTTATATATGTGACTTTGGGCCTTTCCAAGTAGCTAGCTACCTTTTCATTTGAGGTGTAATACATAACCATAAAGTACACAATCTTAAGCATGCAGCTAGGTAAGATTTTACATATGCATACATACCAGTTGCCAACAGCTTGAGTAAGATACTTTGGATGCCTTAAGACAATATTTCTCAACCTGTGGGTTGAAACCCCTTTGGGGTCCAAGCTACCCTTTCACAGGGGTCTCCTAAGACCACTGAAAAATACAGATACTTACAGTATGATTCATAACAGCAAAATTATAGTCATTAAGTAGTAGTAACAATTTTATCATTGGGGTCACCACAACATGAGGAACTGTATTAAAAAGTCACAGAAGTAAGGGAAGTTAAGAACCACTCATTAAGGGTTCACTTGGATCTTCTACCAGCCAGTACCTCTTGCTCAAAGGCAAATAAAGTGGCCAAAACATTACAATAGGAAAAAATATCAACTATATTTAAGCACAAAAGGCCAAAAAGTGGACTTCTAGAACAAAGAAATACAAAGTATCTGAATAGAATTTTTACATCTTTTTATCCCTGATGTTGTAAGAAAATATTAAAGTCTGAAGGTCTTACTAAATGAATCACTTGTAGCCAGATGTGGTAGTGCATGCCTTTAATCCCAGCACTGGAGAGGCAGAGGCAGGTGGCTCTTTGAGAGTATGAGGCCAGCCTGGTCTACAGAGCAAGATCCAGAACAGCCAGGCTGTTCCCCAAAGAAACCCTGTCTCTAAAAACAGCAACAGCAAAAAAGTATCACTTGTTTGTGTGATGCACTTTCTGAAGGAAAAATATATAACTTTCAAAATACTGTACTAAAGCTTTTTGTGCTACTTGTATGTCTTTTATACTAAAACTAACAATTTTAGAACACAATATTACTTGAAATTTATAATAAATTTCATCTTTTTTTAAAAAACCTGCTTTAAAATATAGATTTTAATCAGAATTTATTTTCCAATTCATTACAAAAACAAAAACAAAAAAACCTCATGGGTATCTATACTTAAAAGAGTATTTGAAATCAGGTATAGTGCTATAATCCTAGCACTCAGGAGGCTGAAACAGGAAAAATGCTATGACTTTGAGGGGAACCTAAATTACATTGTTCTAAGACAGTATGCCTATATAGCAAAAGCACTTAAAAGGTGAGTATGTTATCACACATTTGTAATCCTTGCACTTAGATGGCAGAGGCAGGAGAAGGAGGACATTGCAGGACCCTGCCTCAAAAAAAAAAAAAAAAAAAAAAAAAAGTGAATTTGTTTTTCTTGTGGTTTGTTGGGGTTTTGGGGGGGTCCCCCCCTTGCAGTTTGTTGTTGTTTGTTTGTTTATTTGAGGTAGGCTTTCTATGTTCTCCAGGCTGGCCTTGAACTTTCAATCATCCTGCTTCAGCCTTCCAAATGCTGGGAATTTTAGATGTGTAACACCATGCCCAGCTCTAAATAGGAATTTTTAAGTAACAGTTCCAAGTAATTGGAAGTTTAATTTCCATTGATCATTCTGAATTAATAAAGTTTCTCTCTGTGAGGAGTTATTTCACTGTTTTGTTAATGTTTTGTTTTTAGGTGGCTTGCTAATTTAATTAGCTCAGGCTGGTCTGGAATTTGCTGTGTAGTTCAAGATGGTATCATCTTGATGCCTCAGCTTCCAACCCAGCTTTTGAATTCTTCATACTATAGCAAAGTCATAGGGAAAGTTCGTTGACAAAAACAATTATTTGATTTTTATCCTAAAGTATTGTCTTTATTGTCTGTCATATCAAATATTAATTCTATTTTACTTTTAATTTAAAAAATTTGTTGTGTCCCTTTCCAATGAATTAAAAAACATTCCACCTTTTCATTATAAAGAACCATGGATCAGGCCTGAAGATACAGCTCATCAAGTAAAAGCACTGGCTGCTGTTGCAGAATTCCATTCAGTTCCCAGGACCTGCCTAAGGTGGTACACTGTGTAACTTCAGTTCCGGGAGTTCCAACACACATGCATACCCCACACACATAGATACATAGTTTAAAAATAGAATCATAGATCAGTGTAGATGTAGAAAACTATCTTCACTACTTTAATCACATTTTTCCAAAATACATGGTTTTTACAAGTTAAGAACTACATAAACCATTCTTTCATCTGGTTTACACCTGAATGGAATTACGCTACAAGTAGTCCTTTCTGAAAGGATTAGACTTTTCATCTTCTTATAGATAGCCTCCCAGAAATAGATTTTTTGGAAGGAAAAAAACTACAATAACCTAAAAGCAGATATTGAATTTTTTCTGGCAAGATCAGCAGATGGCATTCCCAGATGAAATGTTGTATTCTTGTTTTTCACTGGGGAAGATTGTAAGTCTTTTAAATATACTATCTTACAATCCTATCCTCTATTAGGAAGTATAAAAAGACAACATAATAGTTAGTATGCTTTGGAACACTGTGGTGCATGCCAAACAAATGAGTTCATCTTTAAGGCCCATATTGACTATTTCTCCTCCAGATTTTGTAATATAAATGCTAGTTGCTTAATAAGTATAAAATACAATGAATTATAATGCCAAAAGAGGTAAAGTGTTACATTTAAGGTTTTAACTTCTACATTCATGAATGCTGTTTATTGCCTCTTCAAGGTAAATGTACTATTCTAAATAGCAATGGGACTTTAAATAAAATGTAACTCAATTCCATGTATCCTGGTCTGTTTTATTATTTCCCACAAATGTATTTTTACCACATAAAATGAAAACTCCTACAGATAAGTTATTTTATCATATTTTTGCCTCACAGCAACTAGAGCAAATATGACTATATTCGGAATGATGATATAAACCTTATTTTGATTAATATTTGAGGTAAATTAAGTGTGTGTGGGTTGTCAGTTATTTTTTTTTATTTTGTGTTTAAAGGTTATACATGTTATGAATGCATACATTATCTTGGTTTAAATAGAGAAAAGGTGAATTTTAATTAGTACTGGTAAAATATTACTAACAAAACTACTTTTAAGATTTAGTAACTTGAAAGTCTACAAAATGAATGTCTCACAGTGGAGATAGTTTAGTTCAGTGTTTGACTTCTGTCTGAACCCACTAACTTTATCCTACATTTCTATGAATGTGAGTCTATATATATTCTGGATACATAATATATCACAGAAGGCAGGATCCAAGTGATTTATATTTAATGGGTATAATATTTTCTAAGCATTTTACAGCATCAATACTGTGAGAACCTAATGATCACCAAAACAAATTATGTGGGTAGAGGTGCCCATGGAGGCCAGAAGAGAGCATTTTCTTCCCTGAAACTTGAATTCCAGGCCATTGTTAGCTACCTGATGTGGGTGCTGGGACCCAAACCTGGGTCCTCAAAAAAATAACAAGTGCTGAACTGCTGAGCCACCTCTCCATTGCTATAATATAAAGTCTTTTTTTAAAAAAGAAAAAAATATACTGGAAGTCTTAGCGATTACAGTATAGCAAGAATAAAAAATAAGTTTAGTATTTTGAGAAAAAAAGTAGAATAGTTGCGGTCAAACGTCCTAATGATGGGCACAGTCACAACTGTGCTCCATGGACTGGACAAAACACCAGTATGGTTATTATCTGCTGGGATGGTGCCAATGGGACACTGGAGGAGAAACACAGCTTTAGGTTAAAAGTTGGATGGAATCAAGGGAGAAGGAAATAAATGTAGGTAACACTAGAAACTTTTCTGGGAACAGACCGTTCCTTTATAAAAAGTGTATGTGCGCACCTGCGTGTGTGCATGCACATACAGACACATACACACACTACATAAGTAAGCATCCTTGCAAGTGCCATGCTTCTTGATAGGTATGAAGCTCATCCCATCCAAATT